GTTCAGTGGAAATTGCTTGGAATGAGCCCCACCCCTATGTGCATTCCAACAGCCCTGTGCTGAAGTTCCTCACAGGAGTAACCAGCCTAGCCTGGAGGCAATGGCCAGCCCTGCTTCTGCACTCTAACAACAATGGTAGGGGCTCTGGACCCACCCCTCTTCACACACTTTGGCAAACATCATCTTAGATTATGCAAGTAACCAGCTAAAAGGCAGAGTGCCAGCCCTGCCCCCTGCATGCACTCTAACAGCTACCAGCAAGCCAAACAGTGGCAGAGGGGGCTCACTTGAGTGGAGCAGACAGTCAGTGGTCAATGTGGGCTGAGAGAGCGAGCAGATCTGTGTTTGCCTGCTGAGCACTGCTACAAGAAGTCCCTTTCCTTCAGACGGCCAGCAGAAGCAGAGACACATGTGATAGCTTGGACCCCGGAATAAAATCCAAGGAAGCAAGAAATTAAAATTTGGAGAGCAAAGGCTTTATTTTAGGCCAAGCCTGGTAACACAGTCTCCAGGAGCCAATTTGGAGACTGTGCGCCTTACAGCTAGGGGATTAGGCTTTTAAAGCTGAAAACCACAGGAATGTTGTAATTGCTGACACAGTTAGGTAGCATCTGGGCTTTACAGAACTTGCTGTAATTTCCTTGAAGTTAAGCATTTCTTAAAGAACAGCACATTTTATTACAGATAGCTGAATGAGGGGTAGGGGAGGGGGTTAAAGGAAACTGATACCTAAGGCTTTTACAGCTTTCTCAGGAAATAGAAACTTAACCTAGAAAGATAGGAAGGGAGGGGGATTTACAAGGATCTGAAACTTAAGTCTTTACTGGAGATGGAATTTTAATCTCTATTGAAATGGCACATACAGAACAGGAAGGGAGTGCATTGGTTAGAACTAGGTTACAACAACACACAGCCAGGTAAGCTCTGTGCAACTGTAGGCCACCTTTGGAGGCCCTTGATTCCTTTAGGCAACCATCACCCACCAGTAGGATCAGACAAACACATCCCTGTGTGCCTGCCACCATCACTGGAATCCCAGTGTAGACACACAGGCTGAGAGAAACATCCTCACCTCCATGCACTACTGATCATCAGGGAAGCACCAGTGTAGCTGTATAGGTCTGGAGAAGCCTGCTCCATCCCATGCTACCTCCCTGTGAATCTGGAGTTAGAGGAACCCAGGTGCCTGTCCCATTCCCCTACACTGTGGAGGAGCAGCTAATGTGGGAAGTGCCTGGAGCCCCACAACAAGCTTGTTGGGCAGAACCCAGGAAAATATCACGATGAAGAACAAAAGGTAACCTCAGACCTCAGCACACACTGAACAAGTCTGGGGGATACAGTCATGGAAGAAAATGGAAGTCTCACACCTGAAATCTCTGAGAGATAGCAACTGAAATAAAGAAACAACTTCATGGATTGTAAAGGCAGTCAAATCAGAAATAATGTCTCAGGTAAAAGAAGAAATCACAAACATACTGAAAGAATTGCTCAGCATGTCTAAAGTAGACATAGATAAAAAGAGGAGCACATGAAAATGATGGAAACCTTGAATGAATATAGAAAGGAATTACAATGCATGAAACAGATTCAAAGAGAGATTCAGAAAATTAAAAATTCAATAAAAAATTGGCAAGACTGCTTGACAGATACTAAAGATAGACCTTCAAACCTTGAAGACAAGCTTATGCTAGTGATGATGAAAGGAAAGATCTCTTTAAAATAACAAGGAATTAGGAAGCAACAATTCAGTGGTTGCAAGATGATGCAAAGGAACATAATGTAAGAGTGTTAGGCATTGGTGAAGAAGCAAGGCTCAACACAAATGAAATTAAAAGGCTATTTACACAAATAGAAAACTTCCCAAACATGGGAAATGCATTTGGCATGCAGATAAGCGGGGCATATAGGACTCCAACTAGCCATAACCATAGTAAATCTATACCCAGACATATAATAATTAAGATCCCAGAAATTCAACACAAGAACAGAATTTTAAAAGCTGTCAGAGAAAAGAAACAGATCACTGTAAAGGAAAACCAATCAGAATCACAGCAGACTTATCAACACAAACTACTAAGTCAAAAAGAGTTTGGAATGAAGTGTTTCAAACTCTGAAAGAAAACAACTTCCAACCCAGATTGATATACCCTGAAAAATTATCTTTCAAAATTGATGGAAAAGTAAGATATTTCCATGATAAAGAACAAGTGAAGGAGTTCTTGACTGCCAAACCAACCTTACAAAGAGTGCTAAAGAATATTCTAGAGAAAAATAAAGATGACCATGGTTCCAGGAACAGCTGCAGAAGAGGACTGCAAAACAATACAGGCAGCTAAATAAACGGGAATAGTTGAGGGACAACAACAGGAGCATAGCATGGCAGAGACAAACCAATATATGCTGGTTGTTACCATTAATGTAGGTAGCCTCAGTCATCAATAAAAAGAAACACTGGGAGAGTTGAGCAAGAAACAAGATCCATCAATATACTGTATAAAAGAGACATATTTAACTGGAAAGGAAATTCACAGACTGAAAATCAAAGGAGAGAAAACATTTGCTCTGTGTGACAGGAGACCAGAAATAAAGCAAGAATAACTTGTCCATCAACCACAAAGTGCATAAGAAAGATATGGTATTTCTGTGCAATGGAATGCTACCCAGCTATAAAGTAGGATGATCTCTAGGCTCTTGTAGGTAAATGGGTGAAACTGAAGGTTCATGGGTGAAACAGTTTGAACTCATACAGGAGAACCCTAGCATAAGAAATGGAAGGAGTTAATGAGATCCAAAAGCAAAATAATTGTAAAAGTGATAGGGGAGGAAACACCTGGGAGGAAAAGGTGGTAATTACTGTTAATTTCTTACTGTCTAGTCTGGAATTCTTGTATTGTTTTCAAAAAATTGTTAGGTTTGTCTTTTTTCTGTCTTGTTTTGTTAGATTTTACTCTGTCAGATGGTAGGGGCAGCTATTTTGAGTACATATGATATATTATAGTAATCATGCTTTCCTGTTATATTGTTTCGAAGTCTTATAATGCTTTCATTTATTTGTTTAATTGGTTTTATTTTGTTTTGTTTGATTTTATTATATGTGATGGTATGGACAACTTTTTGAGGAAAACATGATATTATTGTAGCCATTGTTCATTTCCTGTTATGGCTTTGAAGGCCTAATGCTTTCATTCATTTGAATGGTTTTATACTATTTTATTATGTTTGATATTATTGTATGTGAAGGTATTGTCAACTATTTGAGGAAAACAAGAGACATTAAGGTAGCCACTGTTGATGTCCTGTGGTCTTGTTGTGAAGTCCTGTGTTGCTTGCATTGTACTCTTCTGATTTGCTTTGTTCTGCTTTCTTCTCTTTAAAATATAAATTGCAAAATTAAAGCATCAATTTATATATTTAGTCTTGTACTTCACTATAAAGATAGTATGTGAAACAACTGATCAGAACATACGTATTTTCATGATTAATATAGGTTTTAGAGGATATGAGCAAATTCTATTAAATTCTATTCCTATAGATTGATTGTAGCTTAAAAAGGTTGAAGACTAGGAAAGTGTCTTGCTTTGAACCTGAAAGGTATGGCTTTGCTGTATGGAAGGAAAGGCATGAGCTATAGAGAAGTCTATTAATGTTCATAGTCAGTTTCAGTTACCTATGTAAATGTCTTTCCCCCTGATTACAATTTCTTGTTTATTTTCATCCGATATTTCTATTTAATTCGTCCTAGAGTGATTAACTTTTTTCACCTTTCCAATTTTTCCTTTCTCTCTTTGGTATTTCCTCATTGTTTGGACATAATAAATTTTCATTTAGTCTCATAAACCATTTGTGCTTGCCACTAATGGTTAACTAATTTTTTTACTGTTTTACGTGTCATCCTGGAATTCTATACTTTCTAAAATGTTTAGATATTTTATTAATAAATATCCAGTAGGACATGTTTTGTAAATATGTTTATGCATTCGTTGCATTATGTTCAAAATTAGTGACTTTTATCATTGTACCTTACAGAAGTTCCATGCTGATTTCAAAGTTATCAAATAAGCCATCTGAAATATCATGCAAGTTTTGTATATAGTCACTGCCTACATGCCAATTCTCAGCATCAATATTTTAAAATATATTTGTAGTTTTGAAAGGATCACTGGATAGTTACATGTTCATTAATTGCAGTATTCATATAGATTTCTTTATTATATAGATTTCTTACCCAGATGAAACTTGGGTAAATATATTTAAGCATTTTGTGGTGTTAGTATCTCAAAAATTGCAAGGAGTGGTATGTGGGTGACTGACTAAAGAGGAGTATAAGGACCTAGTACTACAAAAATATATGTAAAATTGCTAGAATGCTTGTGATTTTTTCCTGTATTATAAGCAATGATAAATTCTTGAAAAACATCTACTTTTTTTTACTGAGTAAGTTATGTATGTTTTCCAGTGTAAGTTTTGTATGTTAAGTATACATATAGTTTCTCATATACTCTGTATAACTACTTTGTAAGTACTATTATTAACCTCATTTTAGAGATGAGGAAGCAGATGCTTGGAGGTTAACCATCCTAGTTCAAGGGAAATAGCTACTCTGATGGAGCAGAAATTCACTTTGGCTCTAACTTAAAATGTCCATTCTCTAAGCCAAAGGAAAGTGGTGGTCCATGAACCTTTTTAAAGATCACTCTGGTTGAAGTATGAGAACAGACTGCAGGAGAAAAGTATAAAGTATAAAGGCAGGGAGACGAGAAAGGCTGCTGCTGCAATAGTCAAGACCTGTTAGGTCCTATTAAGGGAGCTGTCAGTTAATCAGGAATTTTACAGAGGACTAACATAGACAGGTTATTTACAACACCTTTCTGACAGACCTTGTAAAAGATAGATTGGAGGAGCAAGACTAAAGGTAGAAAAATAAATGTCTATTTTCGCCCCTATCCCTTACCTTGATGTCACTCTATTTAGGCTCCAAGAAGTTAGATTTTGCCTACTTTTCTAGGTAGTAGAATTCCTGGTCAGAGTTCCTATAGCAGTGCAGCGGTGGCATCCATCACTGGCAGGGGTGGGGCGCATGCGCGCGGTTGCTAGGCAACGGCGGTTGGGCTCAGCAGAGATTAAGGAGCCAGGGTTGTGTGTGTAGGCAGCAGCGCCAGAGGTACAGGAGGATGCAGCTGCGACCGCCGCCCCAAGAGGGAGCCGCGGCTGTCTCTGGCCACGGGGACTGACGGACTGGAATCAGGCCTGAGGGTCGCTTCATTGAAGACACTGGGGGCGTCATCTAGCCAGAGGCTCGGGCCTACTAGGAGGAGAAGGTCCAGACTGCTGGGCGAGGGCCCTCCCACCTCCATTCCTTCCCCTCATCCTTCTACATCGATGGTGGTGAATTCGGAGACGCCAGGGAACCAAGGCACCAGATTTCATCCTTACATCCAGCTTTTCTGTGGCCCCATCTCTTGGACACCTGCGCAGCCACCTACCTCCCTTGCCCGCCAAACCTATCTACGGCGGCGGGCGGGGGAGGGGCTCCTTCCCCAGCTTTGCTGCTGGGGCTTCCAGGAACCGAGCTGGGCGAAGACGGTGACTGTAGGAGAGTAGGGGGTGAGTAGTGGAACCGCACTCTTCCAGCGCTGTAGCGTCTTTCTGGCCTCTTGGGCCCCAGGAGGAGAACGAAATACTGATTTTTCCTTCTGAAGCTACATTTGCTCGCGGCTAATTTGAGGTAGTTTTGTTTCTTAAAGACACCACTTTGTGGCTTCAGCTCCTATGTCCAGGAATGTAGGGATTGGTGCTAAGGGCCTGGTTTAGCTTTTTTCATGCCAAAGATGTTGAGAACTCCATATACAGTCTCACACCTCTGGGTACCTGATACCAAGACAGTCTCTCTCAGTGCCATGGTCGCTCCTTTCTCCTCAGTGGTTCTGGTTCTGCCACTGGCTATTGGTCTCAGGGGGCACAGCCTGACCTTACGCTTCTGAAGAGCTGATTCTCTGTGCTGCTGTTGCTTTCTCCTCAAGACTTGAACAGCTAGCGACAGTGATCCCTTACTTTTCAGTTTTCTTTTTACTCGTGTGCCAAAAGCTTCTGAAAGCCTTGTAACTAACTTCTGACTTTAGCATGTAATAGTAAGAAGTTAGTAATTATATCAAGTAATGATGATGATTGATAATAGTCATAACACTAGTAATAATAATAAGCCAATCCAGTAGCACACACTCTACTTGACTTTTCAAAGTGCTATCCAACTTGAGACATAGAAAGAGTGGATCACTGGTAACATGTTTTGTGAACTATTCTTTATTCAAAATGATATACTTCTTTTTCATCCAGAATGATGACATCCTACTTCATTTTCATTGCAAAATATGTTGATAAAATCTAAAATGTACCCAATAAAAATGAGGCTGGATTGTGATGTATGTGTTTATTGAGGTAACCTGCAGTTGGAAATAGTCACTTTTCAAAAACATTGGCATGAGGCACCAGATGTTTTGGAGAAGGTAAATTTAAAGATCTAAGGTTGTGAGCTACATTTTTTGAAAATTAAAAATATCTTGGAGGAGTAAGATTGTTTTTTAACCTACAGTTCACTTTGACCCTTTTCAAAGTGGATTGAATTTCAATTAACTAGTAATGTTTTTGTAAGGTACTTCTGTGGGCACACACTAGAAGATGAGGTCCTTCTTAAATTTGGATCACTTCCATTTCAGGTTTCTTTTATCTAAAAAGAAATGATGAAAAAGAAGTACAATAATGGAAAAATTAAATTTAGTTTTTGTAAATCTTTTTAAATTAAAGATTTTTAAAAAGGATATAGATGCCATTTGTGATTAACTTTAGTGAATCTACCAGAACTGCCAGTTCCCTAGCAGTTTTGAATAAAATGCTTTACTTGACAGATTCCTTGTATGAGAGTCTCTTGGGTATGGTATAAAGTGCAGTATAACTCTGTTGTCACTGGAAAATTATCTTAGACTTAAGTGTGTATTGTTTTGTTTGTTGCATTGGCAAGTTGATATGTTTCCTAGTTGTTAGATTCTAAAGTTAGAGGTATTTTTGTTTTGAAAAAGTTTTTGATGAATTAAACTCTGAATTATTTTAAATAATAATTCCCACATGAAATTCTTCTGTTTACTGTAACATATTTCAAAACCTGGATACTTTTGAATACATTAGAATTCTGTTATGGTGACAATGGCCAAGTAAGCATCTCATAAAAAGAGCATTCACCAAACTATCATAAAAATAGCATTGATAGCTCATTTTGCAGATACAGTGAAGACACTGTCCAGTGAACTCTGGAATGAAGGTTTTTTGTTTGTTTTGTTTTTACAGTGACTTTCAACAACCTTTTATTTTTCTAGCTTGTACTGTGTGCCCACTACCATGCTGGGTGTTGTGGAAACATATATATATATATGATATATATGACATCATGATGAATAATTGAAACTTGGAGTAAACACTAAGAGCATTAATAGTAAAGGGAGATTACCAGAGGAGGTACGTCCAAAGAGGTTTTATAGAAAAATCTGACTTGACTATGGATGTACATACATTGTTAAATGGAAAAGAATTTCAGTGTAGGATGAGCTATGCTACTTGATTTTCTAATTTTTGTGCATATTATTCTGTTTGCTAAGCTCAAAGGAGGAGGGAACTACCAGTAGCAATTTATTTCATTTTAGTGTGTGTAGATTACATTACATACTAGATTAATAATGCACATGCTGTAAAAGTCAACATAAAATAGTCGCCTGGCAGAATATTTTCTGAGCAGATGTAGATAACTGAGTTTACATATTGTTATATCCTGTATTTTTACTGTCTACTGAGGAACTGTTTTCTTCTATGTATTTAGTATAAAACTGGTCTGATAAGTACAATCTTAGATGATTAATGTGCACCAAATGCTATTTCCTGACAAATTGTATAAGCAACATGTATTTTTGTTCATTAATATATTTAATGATAGCACAAAGTTACCCTCTTAATACTAGCATTTCTACCATTTTCTGAAAATACACAGAAGAGATATTTCAGTCTTGCAAATGGATCCTGTTAAAGCTCTAAAAATATTGTTAATAATGCAACTAATGTTCATGTTCAAACTAAAATGCAAACTTGTGCAAAACTCATTTTAGTTCATTTCTTACTGCTTTTTGCTGTGCTGAATTGACTACATCACTAATGGTCTGCTGTTTTTATTTATTTATTCATTTATTTTGAGACAAGTTCTTGCTATGTAGTTCAGTCTAGCCTTGAACTCACTATTAGTTCAGGCTGGCCTGAACTAGATGCAATACTTCTGCCTCAGCCTCTGGAGTACTGAGATTACAAGCATGAAGCACCATACTTGTGTTTGCTGGGTTTTAAACAACCATTATGAGTTGATGTTTGCATATAGAAAACCATACTGCAATTACAGATGATCTCTGACTTACCATCGTTTCCCTTGTGAGTTTGCAACCCTAAAATAGTGCAAAACAATACGCATTTGATGTAAACTGTACTTCTAATTTTGATATTTTCTCAAGCTTATAATATGTTCAATATTTTTTATCAATACTGTGCAGCTGCAGTGAGCCATGGCTCCCTGTTAGCCATGTGATCATAAGGGAAAACCACCAATAGTTTACAGTGAATTGTATTGTTAAACTATGAACTTTGGTAGGTTAGGCATATTAAATGCATTTTTGAATAATGATATTTTCAATTTATGATGAGTTTATTGGAATATAACCCCATCATAATTCAAGGAGCACCTGTGTTACATCAAAAGAGAGGTTCAAATACATCCTCAAATTGCCAATTTCATTGTTTCAAAAATATTTTAATGTATATTCTAATTTGTTTTATTTATACTATTTATCTAGTTCATCAAAAGGAAAGTTTTTAGTCTATGTCTTATACTTGAAATAATTACTTTGAAGACAATTATACACAGTATATTAACTATTGTTTTTCTCTTATTTTTTAAAAAAATTTTGTTTTATTTCTTCATGAAATAAAAATACATAAGGTACCTAAAGGTACTTTTAAGTAATTTCTACATTTTCTCTATTTGGATTACTAAATATTACTGAAGTTAATCTTAGTCCCTTTCTGGACTATCACAAATTCTGAAACAGTGTGATCCAAGTTATAATTTAACAAAATTTCATTAGTCAAGAAATTTTTTAGCCTGCATACATATAGCAGTCATGCTAAAAATATTTCCTGCAGGGGATTTAGCTCGGCAGCATAAGCACCTGCCTTGCCGGCACGCAGTTGTGAGTTCGATCCCTGGCACACACACCCACACACACACACACACACACACACACACACACATTTCTGCAGTATGAACTCCATGTTGGATTTGAGTATAGAAAGAGCAACTAGACACGAAGAAGGGAGATTTAGATTTTATGTATTTAAAAACATCTTCTAAGTACTCTATTAGGATATTATATGTATTAGTCTGTGAGAGGGATTACAAGTTAATATACATTGAATATACTTATTTGAATATTGTTTCAGATTTTAGAGTTTTTGAATATTTGCATAGATCTAACAATTAAGTATTCCTGATTCCAAAATCCAAAATTCCAAATACTCAGAGAGCTGAAACTATTTGAGCACTGACATATTGCTCAAAAAGTTTTGGATTTTGAAATGTGGATTTTCAGTTTAGGAATGATCAATCTGTAGCATAAGCAAAACTGGGCAATAGATATAGTAAATGGCTTTCAGATGTTTTAAAAAACTACAGTGGCAGTGTTATTTGGATGCAAATTCAATAAATTTACAAATTCTTGCTGTTTCATCAGAGTTAGAAGGTAAAATGTTCATTACAATTTACAGTAGTCTAGATAAATTGATAATGTCACAACTTTCAAAGTAATAAAATTTCAGGATCTTCTTTCCTATTTCTGAATGAATAAACGTATAATGTATACATACATATTGATTGTAATGTATTCTATTTGTGTTTTGATGCAATAACCTCTGACACCCTGTATTTCTGAAATTTTGAGATGATATTCTGAGAAGACACTTGAATTTCTACTCTGATTAACTTTAGGCTACTCCTAATAATAAGATTGCTAGAGACTTGTTGTTTATTATTGATGTTCTCTCCAAAGAAGTAAAGCTAGTTCTTTGTTTCATGCCTTCTACATTAATGATAAACTTGTCTCTATTATGTAACTCTTTTCTCTTATAGATCTTGTTTCTTAGGTGTTACAGCAAAGGAAGCAATAGCACAGTTTATTGGATTAGTTAAACATTTAGCTCTTTGTAATTTTTAACTAAGTGAAATTCCCTTAAATTCCCAGCTTCTTTGCCATTCCAGTAATATGTGTGAAAAAGTTTTACTGTGTGTATACTTATGGATGAGAGGAAAAGAGACAATACTTTTCTTATAGATAAACATTGAAACTAGAGTAAGTATTAGTGAAATCTGTTTAATTCTTAATAATCTCTATTAATAAAAAGTAATAAAACCTCAGAAAGTATTTCAAGTCATTAGAATTTGAAAGATAATTTTATATTTACATTTGGATATTAATATTGCTAACCTAGGTAATTTCAAAAATTCAACTAAAGGCTATGGGATA